AAGTAATTTATGTCTATAATTTCGAGAGTGCAATTCCAAGTTTATAGTGGAGTAACTATTGGAATTAATAGAATGAATGAATTAATTAAAGTATTAATTGATTATTAATTTTATTGGAGTTCGGGATTATAGGTCTATTAGTCCCCGCGTCGTCCTAGTAATTTTACCAGACACAGAGGCCAAAATGGGAATTTTAGAATTACGGAATTCTAAAATTAAATACTCAAAAATAATTAATTGAGAATTAATTATTATTTAAATAATGTGATTATTTAAATTTGAATTTGAACACATCTAGATTTATCCATTTATACTTATTTGATAAGTTGTTCAATTTAGAAATTCAAATTAATTTAAGTTTGACTTAAATTCGAATTTGAATTTGAGTCAAAATTGGACTACAGGATAAATGATGATTTTCTCTTTCTTCCCTATCTGATATTGGTGCCACACAGGGGTGAGAATCCCCTTAGAATGGCCGGCCATATAGGATAGAGGAAAAAGTGGAGATTTTGTTTAAAATTCAAATAGGAGATAATTAACAAGCTTTATCTTAGAGATAGAGATTGAATTCCTTCTAAGAAGTTTGACTTCTACTCTATAAATACTATTTTTGAGACAATTTTCGGAATGGTTTTTTACCCTAATTTTAGAGGTGGCCAAAATTTCACTATAGAAAGAAGGAAACATTTTTTCTCCAAAAAAATTCCACATCGTGCATGTGATGGTGTTTGTGGAAATTCGAGTGTTTATTGTAACCCGTTTTGTCTCATGTGTGCCCACACACACGTCTTCGTGGATTCTAGGAATTGACGTGGAAGACATTGGTTTTCTAAACACAAAGCTTTGGAGCAAGGACTGTTCGTGGTCAAAGAACTCAAGTTATCATCTGAGTCGGCTTCCAGGTATTTTTCCTAATTGAGTTCTTAATAAATAAATTAATGAGATTAATTTATTCGTGCATAAATTAATATAATCTATAGAGTATCTCAAAGGTTTTATGAAAATTTTTGTTATACACGATCCGCCTCTTCCCCCCCGCACCGCGCTTCCGCATCCGAATTCGATTCGGAGACCAACAGCCACGCCCAGCGACTCCCTCCTTGACGATGTCGCAGTTGCCTAGAATCTCCTTAGAAAGCTTGATCAGCGAGCACCACTCGATTTGACGATTTCCTCCCGAAACCAAAGAAATCTTCTCCTGAAGAACCAATTCAAAAGTGTTCTCATAATCCGTCGCAACACATCAAGTGACTCTTAACATTACAATCTCATACTCACATGAACACACACAGCTTTTCTGTATTCAACACATATTCTTCACCTCACGTTCTTCACCGCATCAAAACCCTCATACCACTGTATATACCATCACAGAATCACACCCCTCAATCATCCACGACAAGTACATCCAATCATGGTAATATCTCCTCTATTAACACCATAAATCAGGTCATCAACCCCAATGACAGTAAGAAGACAATCATTCCCAATATTTCTCACAATTCTTTCCTTAGAAGAGCCAGCTATAATGCTCCAGAAAGTCCACTCTTGATTTTCAGTAATCAAGATTTTTGATTTGCGGCCAATAAACATGACAACCAAACTTTCTTTAAGAGGACTACCAATTTACAATGCCAACCAATCTTACAACCAATTTACTAAAAATAAGCCAACACAAAAAATGCACTAACACTACCGATTGGTTAATTTAAGTACAGGATTCAAAAGGAAAAAAAAAATGATGATGTACCGTTCTTGTTTCATTCTCTATTTGCGATCTGAAGAATTTTCAGAGATTTGAATAAATTTCCTAGAATGTGAATGTTGGATAATACTTTTGGGTTGTGTAGAGTGATATTCGTATTCTATGTTATGTGACCAATTGTTCAGGAATGTACAAAAGTTTTAGATGCTATGAGTTTGGAAGGAACCTTCATAAACAGAATTATGAAACCAACTTCGATTTTTTAAGTGAAACTAAATCAGAGCATAAGTTTGATAATGATTATGAAACCAAAACAAAGAGTGTAATAAACAGAATTAGGAATGTCAACTTGTGATTGTAAGGCTTTTGGGCAGGTGAGAAATAGCATCATGCATACCACAATATAATGCGGCTGATGTCGCCAAAAGCGAACAAGCAATAAGATGTTCATGCATTTGGATTGTTTGAACTTCTCAACAGTACTTAAAGTGAAAGTGGTGATGAAGAGGTGTCAAGAGCATCCCTGTCAAATTGAGTCCTGCCTCTGTTCGTATTCTTTTTCAGTTAAAACATGGGTTCTTGTTTATTGAAGTTTTGGATCTCTTTATTGATCAGATTATGCTGGTTTACAATCTTCTATATGTTCTTTTTATTTTTGTTTTAAATTTAGGGTGGGGAATTTGAATTCCACAGCTTAGCGTGATTTAGGTGTGGATTTATTGTTAGACTATGCCTGCAACTACCCAATCTTGATATATTCTATCATCGAGCCATCTGTTTTTTCCATTCTTGACGATAAGATCTTTGAATTTACATCTTTTTGTTACTACTTGGTTTCATTGCATTATTTATTCATGTATTGAAACTTGGAGATAAATAGTCTAGCTTTTCAGAGGGTGTCCATTTTCATTCCACAACACAAGCACAATAACACTCCTAAACATAATCGGTAATTCGACGAGGGAAAAATCAAACTTTCTTGCTCTGCCTTGACTTTAACTCTTCAATCAAATTGCCCAAATCTGTATACGATGAGCCACCTTCTTCAACAGCCCTCAATGCCATTTCCTTAATCTCCTTTGCTCTGCTCCTCATTTCCCCTGATCTCTCCCCAATCATTATCTCCTTCAAAGCCCTCTCTATCTGTTCACTCTTCACATAATCTCCCACAAATCGAATCCACTTCTGAGCACCAACGCCAACTCCCGTTCTCAACACCTCAGTGATCAGCTTCTCGTTGTAGAATTGCTCCGCGAATATCGGCCATGTCACCATCGGAAGCCCCGCGCTAATCCCTTCCAGCACCGAGTTCCACCCGCAATGAGTCACAAATCCTCCCACAGCCTCATGATCAAGAATCAACACTTGTGGTGCCCAACCTCTTATAATCAGTCCCTTCCCTTCAACCCTTTTCTCATATCCTTCGGGCAACCATTCTTCCTCGCTATTCTCCTTCTCCTGATCCTTCTCCTTTGCCTTCCTCACCACCCATATGAAGTTTTGTCCGGAGGCTTCTAAACCAGTAGCAATCTCCTGCAATTGAGAAGCTGAAAAGCTCGAGTTTGTCCCAAAACATATGTAAATAACCGAGTTGGGTTTCTTCGAATCGAGCCATTTCAAGCACTCGTGCTCATCGATGGCGGATTCCTTTCCTCTCCGAGCTTTCTCCGAAGCATTCTTGTTGCAGAGAGAAACCGGGCCGATATGCCACGCCTTATTTCCCAGAACCTTCCGGTAATGATCGGCATAGACCGGTTCAAGCTCATAGAAGCTGTTAACAACCATGCCATAGCTTCTCCTTCCGGCTTCTTCCGCGCTCTTCATAAGCTTCGTTAAGTTGTTCTCCTGTCCAAGTCTCAAATAATCCGGAATCTGCAATCTCGTCATCTTAATCTCACCAGGCAAGCCGGGCAAGACAAAAGGCTCAGAATCCGACGAGACATTCTCGTAAGGCTTAAACTTCGCCACGCTCTCCATGCAACACATGGAAATGAAGCTCGTCCCGTGGAAGACCAGCCTCGGGATCTCGTATTTCGAAGCGAGATCCGTCGCCCACGTGAAGAACACATCGGCGACGAACGCGTGAGGCCGTAACTCGGCGAGAATGTCCTCCGCAGAATGCTGGAGTAGAGTGAGGGCGTGGAAGAACTTGCGGTGGACCTCCGGGCCGGAGACGAGGTCGAGATTTTCGAGGCCGTCAGGGAGATCGGCTTCCTTTGCGGGGAATTTGACAACTTTGAGGATTATATAATTGGAATTCGGAGAATTCTGGGTTTTGTCGATCGCTTTGGTGAAGAGAGGGGCGTTGAGAGGGGTTGTGATGATGGTGGACTTGACGCCTCTGGCGGCGAAGAGCTTGGCCATGTCGAGGGTGGGTAACATGTGGCCTTGTGCCATTAGAGGGAAGAAGAGGATGTGGAGAGGATTTTCTGTACTTTCACTACTCATAATGTTGGTAATTTGAGTTGATGCAAAGGAATAAAGCAAGTAAGCAAGAAGAAGAGAGGTTATAGAAGTTATAATGGACGAGAGAGAGAGATGAAAAGAAATCTTTCCTTTGGAGAATTGATGAAGTCAGCACTGACGACTGGCATTGAATTGCGTTTACTTTTTGAAGGAGAGACTGTTGTGGTACAGAAGTTTAGGCCGGTTAATTGAGTTCTCAATTTTAAAGTTTTACGGTTAAAATTTTTTAAAAAATTTCATATTAAATTTTTTTTATTATAATTAAAAAATTTTAAAAAATATTATGTCTAAATTCGATTTGAAAATGCAAATTCACAAATCGATAGAGGCTTTACTTTATTTTTTAGCCACAAATATCTATTACTGTTATTAAATTATGGTGATTTAAGTCGATTTTGAATTGAATTCGAGTTATAATTTAAGTTGAAGTTGTAACTTGAGTTTGTATTTAGATATGCACATTTGAGTTATAATTTAAATTAATAATCTATTTGAGTTTATATTTAAGTATGTTAAAATTTAAATTTATATTTAGATAATATTTTAATAAAAACTCAATAATAATAAAAAATTTTAATAAGATATATAAATAAAATTTTATTCATCTTTTTATTATAAATGTATTAAAAAAATTATCTCAATTAAAATTAAAATAAAAAATTACAACGTTTTTAAAAATAATAGAAAAAAGAGAGAGATGAGAAGAAATCTTTCTTTTGGAGAATCGATGAAGTCAGCACTGACGACTGGCGTTGAATGGCGTTTACTTTTTGAAGGAGACTGTTGTGGTATAGAGGTTTAATCATATTAATTTCATCAATAGTTTTAAATTTTAAATTTTCATAATTAAAATATTTAAAAAATATCATATTTAATTTTTTTATTATAATTAAAATTTTTTAAAAAAATATTACATCTCAATTTAATTTAAGAATTTAAATTTACAAAATTAACGATGCCATATTTTGTTTTATAGCCACGAATATCTATCACTGTTACTAAAATTACTTGACTGCAAAACTCCAATTATTTACATTTTGAATGCTATTTTTTCTTGGAACCAAATCCGTCACTAGCATTTTTCCAACAAATTATAGGGTTGTTTTTTTAGAGTATAATTTGAGTGTAATTTTTGAGTTAAATTTAAGTTATAATTTGAATTGAAGTTAGAACTTGAATAAAATTGAGTAAAATTAAATAAAATTAAAACTTAAAAGAATATAAACTTCAATAAAATTAAAATTAAAATTATTTTTTTTTTTAGTTTTATAAACAAAAGAACATGTCCTATATATCGGGTGTACGGACTGAGATCCCAGTCCAAAAATTGCTATCGCAAATCATGTCCACCCAGTAAAAAAACGCCATGTCATTATTTAGATTTAATCACTTAACGGAGTAAACGTCAGTTTTCATTGTTTTATTTTCTTTGAGAAAAAAAGAAAAAAAAAAAAAAAAAAGAAAAGAAGAGCACGCGTTTTGCTCTGTCTTCAAGGTTCAGATGGGCAAAAACACTTCCAGTTTACTCTCAAAGGCATTCAACTTGAAGACAAAAGCTCTTACTTACCCCAAAAAAAGAAAAAAAAAAACTTGAAGACAAAAGATTGCTCCATATTACTTTCAAAGGCATTCAATAAATCAATATTTTGGAAAAAAAATTCTGTTCCCTTCGCAATTCAATGCCTTCCGGCTCACACATCTTGGACGGGTTTAGTTTCGGCCTCTACTCCGTCGATCTCGGCGCCTCGGTCTCTTCTCCGACGTTATCGCCGTCGAGCCTTTCTTCACTCTCTTCATCAGTTTTGTCTCCACTTAGTCATTTCGATAATTGTAGTACTCCATAACTTCATGCTTTGCCTGCAAAACACCTGCGCAGAGTCCATCTCCGCCATTTTCACCGAAAAGTGAAAACCCAAGATCCTTCCCGCAGCATGATTTGTGACCGCAATCGCCACCGCCGCCTCCGCCTCTTAATCTGTATCTGCAGCGGTGATCGCGACTTGGCTCTTAATCTGTCCTTTTGATGTCGGCCTCCATAGTCTTCGCCAAGAGATCAACATCTGTCGAAGGAAAATATTCTGCTACTAATTTGGTTTTTGTTTTTTTGAAAGAAAAGATTTTTTTCTGGTTAAAAAAACAAGGAAAAGAAAACAGAAAAAGGTTAGTCACGAAGTAGAAGACGGACGAAGTTAACGTTGTAGTGTAGTTAACTTATTAATGACGTTCCCTTTTTTTATTAGGGGGACATGGTTTGGAACGGTAAGGAGACATTTAATTCATGAATTAGAATCATGAAATTAAAATTATTTTTAATTTATGTGTATTTTTTATGAAAAAAAATATTGTAATAAGTCATGAATCATGATTCGAATAAGATGTATTAACGTCATTTTATTTACGTAATACACTTATTTAATAAAAATTTAATATTTAATTTCTTGTCAATTTTGTATATTTATGTTTTTCTTTTTTAATGTGTATTTCATTAATTGATGACTCCAATTTAGTTTTATTAATTAATTTTAATTAATTTTATTTATATTTATAAAGTATTATTATTTTATTTTCTTAATCAATGACGCTTGCTATTCCGTCACCGTAAGCAGAAACACATACATTTTTTTTTTCGTGCCGCAAGAGTAGAACATATATTTGCACAAACAATATTTCATTAATATGTTTTGCCCACACTACCTAAAATGTTTACTACAAATCTTGACAAATAATCAGTATGAAATTTGTTGACGGCATTTTTTCGACAACGCGTTACTTACTCTCCAAAGACACTTTCAATAACGCTCGTGATTTAACTAAGGATTAAAGTTGAGAAATAATGTAAATGAGACAAGGATTTATAGTGGTTCAGCAAGAACTCTTTGCCTAATCTACTTGTGAATGCACTAATATCTTTTCAGATTACAAACCCTCTTGAAGTAATGAAATAGTGCGTACCCATTTTTTTTTGGTTTTCTTGGCTCTATTTATAGGCCTTTACATGTGATTATCCCTTCGTCATTCCCAAAGAGGAAGCCATCTTCCGTCCCTCGATTTACGGGCGGATAGGTGAGTTTTCATGATGACAACCTCAGGAAATGCAACTGATCCCTCTCATCTGCCGCCTGATTTCCTGACTCCTGCAGTAGTAGTTGGATCAATACGTCCTTTCCCGAGTTGATAAGACCGCTGATGGATTTGACTGGACATGCTTTCTCGACGCAGTGGCCTCCAGCAGTCGAGTCATGGTGGTCGACGCATCTCGCCGCATATGGTCTCTCGACGTAAAGGCCACTTCAGCTACAGTCTACTCCCTCGACGCTAGCGACTAATTCTTGGCGGGGAGTTCTCGGTGCTTGTCGTTCGATAGAGTGGTCGATTCCTCGACCATGGTGTAACAATTACCCCTAGACTGGGATGTCGCAGTGCGACTTTCCAAGCTATACAACGTTAAGAGCGCCACGTGGGGAAAGCTTTTCGGTGAGTGAGTGCAGCCGCTTGTAGGTACAGTGCATCATTGTGGTTGGTTCCTTGGGCAGTGGAGCAGTCACGTCGATCGTGTCAACAGTCACGCTCCCACTTTCCTGACGTCACGTGGCACTAGAAGGATGAATCGTAGCCGTCAGATTAAGTCCTTTTCCATTGCTTTGTCCCTGACCCTTCGATCGCGCCTTCTCGGATCCACCGTTGGATGGGACCGAATCGGATTCTACGGTCGAGATTTGGAGTCCTTTGGACTCCTCGGGGACCCCTGGGCTCCTCCTCGGGCGTATATATATGTCCTCATATCCGCAGCTCTCTGGTCACCAAACCTTCAGGACGTCGTCACTCTGCCGGATTTTCGCCAGAACCTTTCGTCTCCGTGCATGCTTCCGCGCATCACTCGTTTTCGCTCTCGGACTCAGGCTCTCTTCGAATCCGGTAAGCCTCATTCCCTTCGTTCTTTCTGCGGGTATGGTCCTAGTGTATGAAAAATCAGGCCCATACGCGTTATAAGGAGGGGAGATGTACTTACCTAGCGGTGTCGGCCGTGAGCTGGGGGCTGAGCCCGCACGGCCTGATCTGTTTGGGCGTAGTTGTTTTGGCTTGAGACCTTCGACCTCGGCTCTAGGTCTCTTTGGCTTATGGCATAAATCTGTCTTTCTTTTGTATGGCTGCAAAGCTCGAGTGTCATATCCTTGGCTCAGGGGCCTCTGGTCTGAACACTCGTCACTTCCCTTCGCTCTGCACTTTTGACCTCTCGACCACTAGGATCTGACCAAACCCCTTTTGCTTGTTTCCAGAACATGTTACCAGAACAGGTTAGGGGTCGAGAGGTCTCCAGCTCTAGGGTAAGGGCCGACCTTGAAGAGATGGCCATATCCAGCTCATCCTCGGGTGATAGCGTGGATTCCTTGCTCCGCCAAGTCGAGGACTACACTGAGGCTTCGGCCTCTGCCTCCCGGTTGGACGAGCTAATACTTCTCGATGACGAGGATGCTAGCCTACAGGTCGGCCCTTCCGAAGGCCGTAGCCATGGGGTGGCGTTGACCAGCGGACTGACGGGGATAGTCATGGATGTCAATCCGTCAAAGATCAGACCCCAGGCCGCGATGAGGGCCTTCAATGACGCAGGGATCGACCCCCTGCATTTTTACCTGATTATCCTGACTCCCAAGGATCGGGCTCACGCGCCCCCACCCCGTCATATGACTGTATATACACGCTCTTTGTGCTTTGGGCAGACTCTGCCCTTTCATCCCCTCGTGAAGGCCCTTTGCGGCCTTCACAGGATTTCTCTGGCACAATTGTCTCCCAACAGCTGGACGACCATTAACTCCATGATAATTTTGTAGAGGAAATATTTGAACCTCGACCTAACCGTCGAGGAGTTTTTGTACTACTACGCCCTCAAGGTCTCCCCGAACCAAAGAGGGTTTTTCTACTTGGCTGCCCACGCCAAGGCTAAGCCGCCCGTGCCCCCTGTGGTGGTCGAGAAGACCTCCAGTTCGCACCGGTGGAAGCCCTAATTTTTCTTTGTTGGGGGCAATTTCAATTTCCACCCTCTCGA